CCTAAACCCAAAATCCCTAAACCATACACTTCTTGGCAGCGGCATCGAAACATAAAGACTCAGAGGAACCTCAATTTTTACTCGCATCGGAAGTGTCACTCTGGCAACGGTTGCAGACCCGGTTCAGGGTTTGGGTTTCCGGGTTTAGGGTTTAGGGTTCAACGTTACAGCCAGCGCGCCTGGCACCTCTTTCGTTGGCATGTCCTGTGCATGGCGGAGTGCACTCATGACTTTGGCTCGCTGCTCTCGAAAGCCGTCCGATAATACCATGAGACTGACTCCTCAGAATCTTAAGACGATGTTCCAAACTCTGGCCCTCGCGCTTGGGTGTTGCTGTAGCGGACCATCTGACTGCAAAGTCTTCCTAAACCTTAAGCCCTAAAACCCTAAACCCTTCCGTATCCAAACACCTACAGCTATCTTCCAAAATCCTTTCGTTTAAGGAATATATACCTTAGATCATATTAGGGGCCCGATTATAAATCAGAGGTGCATCCCCGTAATTCCCTGAAAGAACTCCTATAGATGCTTTTAAGCAACCCTACTATAACGGAAGGTAAATTAACTTCTTACAAAATAAAAAAGTGATGTGGGATCTGCACAGCCCTCAAAGGAAGAGCCTTAATGCTTTACTAGTTAGAATAGGGTTGTCGGAATACCATACTGTATAAACACAATACAGAACCCCCAGAATAGCTTTAAATGGTTTCTAAATGTGCTTTTAGGCCTCTACAGTACGCAAGATCTCATGTGCATTGGAGAGGTTTGGAGTGGGGTATCATGTCCGCATGATTGGCCCTCCTAATGCACCTGAATGATTCAAAGTACCCAGAGAGTCCGTGGCCCGCAAAATACGGAGTTTACACTAAAACATAATGAATACTAAGGCTTGTCAGGTATATTCCCTAGCTAAGGGGCTCTCTCAGCACCGGATGCCCTGTTTCGAAGCCCAGGCGCTCGAGGAAAGCTGGCAAATTTGGTGCCCCGGGCTGATTTCTCCCTGCAAGATGTCTCCTGCGGGGCATCTGGGGCGACTTTCCGTGGTTTTGGGTATACAGGGGTTTAGGGTTCTAGGGTTTATGGTTGAGGGTCTGACATTCCAGTTCATGGTTCAAGGTTGATAAGGCTCAAGCCTTATGTAAGGGTCAACAGGGTTCGGCGGTTTAGGGTTTGGGATCACGGCTTAGGGCCTAGGTTTAGGCTCCCTCGCTTCCCTAGACCCTCCTGCTACCCTCTATTTGTCCCTAAATACCTACTATGAAGGACCCTATACCCCTAAACTATAAACCCTAAACCCCCTATTTGAGGGTCTGAGGGTTCCCTCACCTCTTCTTTTGCAGCTGGTGTCCCCAGCCGCAGGGGCAGCTGGAAAACCTGCGGCCGGTCGAAACCCTGTCAGACATCACCGTGTTCTTGTCAGGGGGCGTTAACGGTTTATAGGGTTTAGGGTTACAGGAGGCTCCCAAAGAGCCAGGAGTGTAATTTGAAAATGATGCCCGCGTAGATCCCCAAACAGTCAAAAAAACCCACGACGACCATGACGCTGACCACCAGGAGACCAGCCGCAGACCCGCGGGATAGCCACCAGGAGACTACTACAAATGCTTCCCCGCCAAGTACTGGCTTCGTTTGTTTTTATACACGAAGGTACACTGTGTGCTCCTTCATGAAGGCGAAGTTGGGCTCCCGTATTCAGGATCCTAGTAGTACGATCTTTTAGGTATGTCTTTCGCAGATGCCCTCGGCTTTCTGAACCCATAATTTAGAGGCCCTCAATAATTCCCCACTGTAATTACCAATGCTATTTGGGGGGGTTCCCTATCATAAATTATCCTTAGAGTATAATAGACCGCCAAACCATGCTCACAGTATAAACGCCATATCCGAACATTGCACGTGCTACCACCGCAATGCGCCATGGAGCCGCAAACTCTTGCCGCCGCAGGGGGAACTGCTCCATTGCCGGAAGCTTCACCATGGTTAGGCCCAGAGATTTTTTCAATATGCCCCTTAAATCAGCATAGGGATTTCATTATACTCGAAGGTATAGTATACTCGCTAGCTTACAGATGTTGAAAGATCTAGGGACTTGAAACTGTCATGTCCTGAACCTGCGGCTTCTGCGCTCGTGGACACCTAGACATGCCCATGGCCCATGATGCTCTTGGAGCCATCTGATAGCTGGGGAGTTCGGTTTTTGGCGGGACCCTTGATAGGGTCCCCTTTAAGAGAGCCCCTTTAAGGGGTCTCCCTAATACTACCTAGGAATAGCACAACATGCAGCGTATGCTCTCGTGACCGCATGCCCTTGCTTACCAGGTACAAATCGCAGCCCTGGAATCCTTTTCCATTGCTGCCGACTGCAGAGTATGGCGACCGCAGGGGCCGGGGCTGCACGGCTTGACCGTCCCATCCCCGACGTGAGCTGTGTGCCGTGAGAGCGAGAGGTCACCTCGCCCTGGTTGCGAGAGCTTTGAAAACGTCAGTAGAAAAAACACGATAACAGATGAGACAACCCATGCCAACTCACTGTAACTAACTGCTCAGTTCTGATGTGCTGCAGAAGCTTCCGGAAGTGTTTCATCGAGCGCAAAAATCTACGTCGCAAGGCAAGGCTAAATAGCACTTGGAGAGATAGAATCCTCGATGCGTTGCAGGTGAGAGGAGTCGGCCGTCTCATGTTGGACCAGGCCGGGTTCAGGGGCCCGAGCACCATGAGATTGCGATGCCCTGATGGACTCCGACGTGTCCTCGGTCTGCATGGGCTTAAAGGTGACAGGGCTTAATATAGGAGCCCTAATAACTAGAATAGGGTTTGGGGTGTATTATACCTATAACTATAATAAGGAACCCCTAAAACCCTATTCTAATTATTAAGGAATTCTTAAGGCCCCTACATTAGGATTCGATTGTAATTCTATGTCACCGAGGAGCGATGAGCTGCGCAGCGACGTCCTGCGAGAGGCTTGGTGGGAGTGGAAAGGTGCTGTCACTGATCACGAACAGAACTCAAGCACATCTGATTGCGCAAACACTGCTATGTGCAAAACCAGGGAAAGAACATCGACTGCGGCAACCACACTGACCCTCACCATGCCCAGCAGTCGGATCTACAATGTCACAATCCTGAAACACTTCGACGGTTTCGGGTTCACTAAGGCTCTAAGGATATTATTGTAAGGCTTTTGGTCCCAATATATAAGGCTTCTGGGCTATGTTGAGCCTTGGGGATTCAAAGTTTAACAAGGTCCTTCAAGAGGACGAGGCTGTCCACAAGAGTTCCTTCAACTGCCTGCAGTTGCTGGTGTGTCCTCTGGGACCTGGGCCACTATAGGGTTTCTAGGGGTTTTAGGGTTTTGGGTTTAGGAGTTTAGGGTTTAGAGATTTAGGGTGTTTAGGGGTTTAGCGTTTGGGGTTTAGGGGTTTAGGGGTTTAGGGCTGCTCACGATGGTGTGCCTGCTTTCCGGGTGATCGTAGCACCACTAAACCCTCAAAGCCCCAAGCGGGTGCATGAGGGTTTCCGAAAATAGGGGACCCTAATATAGTACCCTAAATAGTAGGGATCCTTATTATAATATAAGGTAAACCCCGCTCTTTCGGAAACTCCCAGACATCGTTGTCCTCTTTAGGCTTCTTTGTTTCCCTAAACCCTAAACCTTAAATCCTAAACCCTAAACTTACCCTGAACCACAAATCCTAAACGCTAAACCCTAAACCTTAAACCCTAAACCCTAAACCTTAAATCCTAAACCCTGAACCCTAAACCCTTAAATCCCTAAACCCCTAAACCCCTAAACCCCTAACCTAAACCCTATAATCCCTAACCCCTGAACCCTAAACCCCTAAACCCTTTTTTTCCGGTGAGTCTTCAGCCCAGGGGCTGCCGCATCAGGTCCACCTCCCTCGCGGGCCCCCGGATGTTGATGCAGCCCTCCACGAACTCGCTGATCCCGATTCGGTGATCCCCATCCTCGGAGGATTCGGGTTTTTAGGGTTCAGGGATGTTTAGGGTTTGGGGTTTAGGGTTTAGGGTTTAGGGTTTCGGGTTTAGGGTTTAGGGTTTATAGGGCTTAGGGTTTAGGGGTTTAGGGTTTAGGGTCGGAGGATTCCGGGAATTTCCGTGTCTTAGGAACCCTCGACGCCTGCATAAAAACTCCATGTTTTTGCAGCCTTGCGCTACCTTACCCAGATGGAGCAACAAAACCAGGCCGTGCGTCTCGATCCAGGCTACGGAAGATTGTCCATGCATCCTCTGCCTGAAGGTAAGACCGGGAGGGGCTGAAGAGTTCAGGTCAAAGACCCCTGGAGGCCCATGGCAATCCCTCGGAGTCTTCCTTAGCCCATCTGCAGGCCGGTTTAGGATTTAGGGGTTTAGGGGATTTAGGGGTTTAGGGTCGGTTCTTCCCCCACATTTCTTGGCTTTCGAGGAGCATTTGGCACTCAGGGGATGCACTATAATGCATCGGATGACATAGAAGTCCATGCGAGCCTGCCTTGATGCCCAATGCTTCGAACCACGCCCTCGTGCTCTCCACCTTGAAGCCATGCTCGAACTCCTGGCTTCGGGTGGCAGTGGGAATCGGGGCATGGAACTCAGACGTGTGGGTTCGAGCATGGCGACCTGGGCTACACAAACAACCACTGTTGTCATGAAATTGCTGTGAGATTTGTGGCAAGCCATCGTTGCAAATAATATCACAACCTCGAGCTATTGTCCCACACTCCTTTATCGTGATCATGCCACTCTCGTCGTGGTCCATCATCTGGAAGAGCTCACAGAACACCGTCCGTATCCTTAGCCGTTTTCGCAGAGACTGGTGGGAAAGCTTGCAACATGAAGTTTTAGTTGCGGGAGCATTGAACTATTGAAAGATTTATCAGGCTGTCAGCCACAGGAGGCATGTAAGGCTTGTGGCAGCACAAGGAGACCAAAACAGGCAGAGCATCCGTTCCTGTTCGCCCACCATGGACTGGACCATGAACTCATGGTCTTGCTCCGCACCGGCGATTGCAGAATGGCAAAACACCTACGCTGCACGCCATGCCACCAGGCAAAGCTACTGCTTTTTTTCTCATCAGCTTTGCTGGCTCAACTCCGAGATGTGCACGAACAACACACAAGGGCTTTCTCGTAAAGTCCAAGAGGCCCCCGTCATCACCTGGAAGCGCACAAGCATCGACCCTCTACTAGCCCTCCCTAAGGGTCCAAGTACTCATTATTTAAAGACTTTGGGGCCTTTATGGGTACCAAAAACCATAAATAAGGACTACTTGGACCCTAAGGGCCTTTTTATACATCTCCAGTCTCCAACCTCCTCAGAGCACGAGCAAACTTGAACCGTTGGGTCGGCCACCCGTGCGAACACTGCGTCAGAACCGCCGGGAAACCAATTGAGCAAGCTTAGCAAAGAGGCGTTTCGGATCCGGCATTCGGCATCCGCGGCTGCTGAAAACTACCCCCAGAATCGGATGACAACACATGCTGCCGAGATGCATTTAACACCGCAAAGCAGCAAAACGAGATGTACCTTACATGTTTCAAGTTTTGACATGGCGGGCATGTTAACACCAAATCATTGCAACTGCGGGTAAACAAACCTAGCGTCATGAGCTTGACGATTTCCGATTTTTGATTGGCTCATCGCAAAACAACATTCAGGAATATGGCCCCCAACACATGAACATGATATCTCGGCTCTTGAGCGTTAACGCTCTCATTTTCTCTACGTACTCCCTGCTCCGTATGAACCCGGAATTTTGTAGGGCCTTGTGCGATTTCATAACTGCTTTCTGAGGTTTGTGAAGGTTTTTATGGGGATTTGCACTCAAGGTGCTTCTTGAAGACCTTATCAGACACTCCAAAATACCCTCAAATAATATAGAGAATGTAGAGGGGTCCTTCATATGATGTGGGGTATAGCAGGGGTTTGGGAGTCTCTGAAGCCGCGGCATGGGCTTTTCCGGTGCTGCGGGAGCTGCATGGATTTCCAACCGGGTTGACAGAGGTTCAGTCCGGATGCATGAAAGTTTACAACATTTTTCTGAAGGCATGACAGGGTTTTTCGAACTGTTTCATATGCATGTTTTGTAAGGTTTACGTTTGTTTTATACAGGGTCGCCAACTGCTTGCGCTGCCGCCACGCCCTGACCCATCTACATGATTGAACCAACAGTGTGTCCGGTGCGCAAGCGCCCGCCAAAAGAATCAGTCTCAGCGTCGTTTCACATCAGTTTGTAGACTCTCCTCCGGTTGGTGCCATAAGATATGTCATTTGTTCTGATTGAAACGAAACGTTTCGAGGACTCAAAGATTTCAAAGGAACGAAACATGTCTATTCTGATGTTTGCTTTGGCCATTCGAACTCTACTCTATTTGCGGATATCTTGCGGACACAATAGTGGGAGTTCATGTGGGAAATATCCGCGTGTGCTGCATGTGATGCCGGCAGGACTGACTCGGCAGAACGGACCACACCACAGGTTGCGTTTGACATGTCTGACGAATTTCACACATAACATCACATTGGCCATCACATCGTGGCGGAGGGAACACTGTAACACAGCGTCGTGAGTGCCGGTCATTGACGGTATGTCAAACTTCGGCCTGACTGCGCGACACAGAACTTGACTCCCAGTTCCAAACCAGCAATCACGTGGCTTTCGGCAAAAATGTGGCTCGATTCTGCCGTGCTCTCCGCTTGGTGAAGGTATGTACGCCTCTGTCGGCTGACGAAGCAGCAACGTTCTGAACCATGCCAAGTTGTGGTGCGAGCCATAGACCTCGCCTGTGGATCCACAGCTTCGGCAAGCCTGTTTCCCAGAGAACCCAATACACCTTAATTAAGGAATATACCTCAAAATATAGGGGCCTTAATTTTATGATTTAAGGTATATTCCTTAATTCAGGGGTATTGGGTTCTCTGGGTTCACACGTCAGAGAGCCAAAGCGAGCTGTTCGAGGTGGCAGTAAGCGAGACCGGGTCTGAATCTGCATCGTAGCACCACTGCCGGCCTGAGTCCATCCTGACACACGTCAGTTTGAACAAGATTCGATGCCTCCATTTTGATCTTGTTCGCCCCTACTCTACATAGACCATATTTATCAGTTTTCCGAAGATATGTGAAACCGTTTTGGATGCCTGAGGGCTAGCTGCCGATCTAAAAACACGTGGCGCTCGGGTGTGTTCGACCCTGCAGGCCATTCACCGCCGCACCTGATCAGGCTTCGAAAATCGGGGGCTTCGCTCTCAGAAAAAAGGGCCCCACTCTAATCAACAAGATACAGTCTTTCTTTGCCTCCGGCCGCGTATTAAAGCATGGCAGTCGCAACACCCTGCCAAACCTTCGCGGCCGAAATGCTGGAGCTCCACATCCTCATAAAGATCCCATCCCAGATGCATGTGCAACTATCGCGCGCCTGCCTACCTCTCACGGAGTCGCTTGTCGGACGCACTCCCAGGCCTCATGATCTGGTCTCCACCAAATTCTCGCAGCTCTGTGGTTGCTAGGACTGGCCGGCTTCCCAGAGAACCCAGTACCCCTTAATTAAGGAATATACCTCAAAATATAGGTGCCCTAATTTTATGATTTCTCTGGGTTCTCGATGCCCGCAGCTATTCGTTTGCGTAGGAGGTCAACAGTTGGATGGGTCAAGCCACGTTCGACCAATTGCGCGAGACGACAGAAATGCCGATGTTGCATGCGCGACAAAGAAAAAGGTCACTTTGCAGTCCGTTTGAAAACTTGGCCACGCAGTTCTCGGCCAATTGCTGGTAGAGTCCAACGATAGAATCTCCAGCAAACATTTTCTGATATCAACTCTGCATGCGTGTGGGAGAATTTTTTCGCTGTTTGGGAGAGCGACCCAGGCCCCTGTTCTGTTCACTTTGACATACGTTTCAGCTGTGGTTCCGGAAGGCAAGCCACTGCGCAGTTCCCGGGCCTGTGATGCCTTCCACTCGGTAGCACTGCCCTTTTTGCTTTTTGTGTCAAATGTTTGAGCCGGGTCTTCGCCACTTTTGAAAGTCTTTCGTGGTCTGGCTGACCTATGCTTGTGAATGCAATGTGCAATTCTGACAAAGAAGAGCCGTGCCAAGGTAGACGAAGGCACAGAATGAAGAGGGAGGTCCACACCCAGCCAACCATGTTCAACGATGACATTGCATGCCTGCAAGGAGATGAGAAAAAATGCCTGGCAGGTTCTGGCCTCAGCAGCCTGCCTCCATTCCAAACCTCCGGAAATTGCTGCGAAAAGCCTCGGTCTATGCAGGACTGGGATCAGCAGCCCAAGGATGCAAGCGGGGATCAGCCAAGACGAGGAGCGTGAACATTGAAATCTGCAGGCTTCCGAAGAAGTTGCGTAGTTCATCAGCGTCGACTGTTTGGTCTGGTGCCATGGTCATGGTGGTCAGGTAGGCATCGGAGAAGAGGATGGAAAACAAGTAGATGATGAGAAGCAGCAAGATGACGGACCTCAGTTGCCAGGGCCTCTAGAAGCCATAGAATGCCTAAAAACCCTGCCTTTGTGTAAGGATTTACAGAAAGAAACCTCAATAAGGAACCGTAGAAACCTACATTTTTAAGGAAAAAACACAAAGAAACCTCAATAAGGAACCCGAAAAGCATACATTTTTGAGGAAGTATGTAGAAAGAAACCTTGATGAGGAACCCGAAAAGCATACATTTTTGAGGAAGTACGTAGAAAGAAACCTTGATGAGGAACAAAGGGTAGGGTTTTTGGGCCCCTCAGCATGGGGAGCGCACTCTACATAGCAACAGGGGTTAGAGTTTAGGGTTGAGTGTTCAGCATCGGGCGTTCAACCCTAAACCCTAAACCCCTAAACCCCTAAACCCTAAACCCTAAACCCTAAACCCTAAACCCTAAACCCCTAAACCCCTAAACCCCCCAAGCCCTATCTTCCTTGCAGCTGGGTGTCCAGATCAGAGACTTGAGGGTGATGCCAATGGAGAACACCAGAATCCGAAGGGGGCGGATAAATCCTGGAAGCTGCGGCTTTTAGTTTTTTTTTTGCTTTTAGGGTTTAAGGCTTAGGGTTTAGGATTTAGGGGCTAAGGGTTGTAGGGTTTAGGGCTTGCGGTTTTATGCGTATGCGCTGCCCTAACCGCGAGACCCTATGTAAGGCTGAAAATCGGAACCGTAAGCTTTTGCGCATGTGCAGGCATGCTTGGTAGCTGCTGTGCACCTTGATCTTCTGCCATACTGCGTTGTTTAGGGCTTAGGGTTTAGGGTTTAGAGTTTAGGGTTTAGGGTTTAGGGTGAACAGTGCAACAGAATCGTTTCGCTATTGACGAAACTACCTGTACAAAAGAAACAAAAGCAAGTGCATCTTCACACATAAGCATAGACATGGATAGACAGGTGCACATAGACAGATAGTTAGACACATAGACATTTGATCTGTTACCTCTGGTTGCTTGTTCCGAAGTTCAGCCAACAATGCTATGCCTCCTTCTTTTGCCAACCCGGGGTTTCTAGAACAGAAGGGAACCTAATGCAGAAGTCTCAATGATCAGAAAAGGGTGGGGGGGGGAGGGAAAATATAGTATATTGAGAGCATGGAACTACATGGAACGCTAAGACTTCGACCCATATGTTAATATAGAATTACCCCTATTATTCCTTAGGGCTCCTAAGTAAGTAGAAGTGTCGTATTATATATCACCCCAAGCCCAGCACAGAGGCCCCTCTGTTCTTGTAGAACCCGAATGATCGGATCCCTACGCTGAGAACTGTTTGCCAAAGGGCTCTAAACCCTAAACCCTAAAACCCTCATTCTGATACCAAACACCCTAAACCTTAAACCTGATTGCCGCAAGAACAGGAACGCGAAGATATCAGCCCGGCCATGCTTCGGATAGGGTTTAGGGTTTTAGGGTTTAGAGCTTAGGGTTTGGGGGATTTTGGTACCATAGTAGAGATCTATAGTAAGAATTTTGAGGGTTTCGGGTCTGAGACTTATTCTGGGTTCTCGTTCAGGAACTTGAATTAAGTTACCATATCTCCAGTAAATAACAGGGTTTCCTTTCGGAGCTTGATTTAAGTCACCATACTAGGGATCTATGGTAAAGAGTCGGGTCTCTTTTGCTATGAGTTCTTAATGACAGGAACCCAGCTACGGGGTTCGGGGCAGTGTCGGGTCTGTGGTGTCTCAACTGGGTCCTTGTTGGATACAATTTTACATTTTTGTTATAATAAAACCCTAATAAGGATTAAAGATGATCATTTTTAATATAGCCGGGACCCTAAACCCTAAACCCTAAACCCAACAGGGAACCAGTCAAAGGCTCGGATCAGCCGAACAATCCGCAGCCCTCGTGCGGAGCGAGCCAGTCGGAGGATTCCTGCGCAGATGCTACATGAAGGCCCTTGAATTTATAATAGGAACCCGAATAAAATTTAAGGTATAGTCCTTAATTAAGGGGTTTTGGAGTCTCTGGGTGTACGGGGCTACTATGAGGGTTTCTATATGGGTAGTTCTCTAAATTAGGATCCCTCCCATTCAAGTTTCGGGTTTCGGGTTTCGAGTTTCGGGTTAGGGCTTCGGGTTTAGGGTTTCGGGTTTAGGGTAAATAGGGCTTCGGGTCTAGGGTTTAGGGTTTGGTGATTTCAGGGGAGTTGTGGAGGCTCATGGAGGATCCAACCAAACTGCGGGACTGTATGAAGAAACCCTTGTTTCCTGCTATAATCACACCAGCCATATCAAAAGTAGCAACAACAAAAACAAGCATAATGCTGGGAATCATAGAAACTCATAGCAACAACACTAATCTCAAGAAGACTTATGACTAAAGTTAAAGGGCCCTGATCTCCGGCCCCAGGAAGCCCCAAGTCTTCTTGAGCCGGGGGGCGAAGGATTCGAAATGTCCCAGAGGCAAAGTTCTCCTGACAAACGGCCGCATTTAGGGTTTAGGGTTTAGGATTTAGGGTTTAGGGTTCGCAGCTGCAGAGAGTTGAACTCTCCAGGCACTACACCAGGGCCCCTTCTGTGTGGAAGAGACTGCAGCTCAGAACGGAGGGTCTGGGTAGAAAGCAGGTGCTCTTCAAGAACGGACACTGGCTTTCGAGGTGCGCGTCAGGTCATGCCAAATGCCCAAAACACCAGAGAAGTGCAAGCCCATGGCAAGCCTAAACCCTAAGCCCCAGTGGGCCGGGTTCTTCGTGGCTCGCTCCGCCACAACTCCTAAACCCTAAACCCTAAACCCTAAACCCTAAAACCCTAAACCCTAAACCCTAAACCTTATCTTTCGGTCCTGCAAGATGAGGTCCACCAGGAGCTCCACAACGGATAGCGAGACCTCCAAGAGCACTCGGAGCTTCACGCTCTGTTTAGGGAGGGGTTTAGGGCTTGCAGACAAAGATCAGATCCCGAAAGACGGTTTTTTTTTTTGAGGGCCTTTTTCCGTCTGCTAACTCCTAGCTCGGGAATCTGCGTGACGGTTTAGGGTTCAGGGTTTAGGGTTTAGGGTTTTCTTGGCATGCTTTGCATCCTCCTCCCGCCAGCAACATCCTGCGAGAAACCAGTCCTTTAGCCGGCAAAACAGCTCACCGCCCTAGACCCCGAACCCTAAACCACTAAACACTAAACCCTAAACCCCGAAACACAAAAGAAAAACTAAACCCTGAACCCTTTTAAGGCCCCGAAACACAAAAGAAAAACTAAACCCTGAACCCTGTTAAGGCGGCCATCAACAAGTCGAAGATGTTCCAGCCGTACTCGCCCGTGGTAAAGAACTTCGTTACACCGATCGTGGACATGCGCCTCGCAGACACGGATTGAAGAAACCCTAAACCCAAACCCTTTAGGGTTTAGGGTTTAGGGTTTAGGCTAAACCGTGCTCAGCAAAGGTTTTGGGTTTCGGGTTTCGGGTTCCGGGTCAAGGATGTAGGCCAGCCATCAACAGCGGTGCACCCCACTTAGGGTTTTCGCAACCTCGAGGCTCTACTTGTACTCCACCCACCCCTTAGCCCAGAAAGCCCCCCGAACCCCCTAGGCCCTGTTAGTTCTAGGCCCCCCCCCCCGAGACGCCGTAACCCTGAACCCTATAAGTCTAAACCCCCGAAAAACGCTGAATCCTAGACCCATCAACCCTAAACTCCCCCAAAACACAAAATACCCTGAGCCCTAAACCCCTGTAGTCACTAAACCCTGGCTCCCTGCTCCGAGGTGCAGCACGATTTCGATCATGAAGAGGAAGGTGAAGGCCAGATGTGTGTAGACCATCGCATCAGGAGGACTTGCCCCTAAGTGTGCAGCCTCCCATTCCTGAGCTTTAGGGTCCGAGGTTTAGGGCTTCTAGACCCTACACCCTAAAGCCCTAAGCCCTAAAAACCCTGAACACTAAACCCTGAACCCTAAAAGCCTCCCTAAGGCCTGAGAGCGGCTCTTGCAGCTGTTTCGGGCTATAAGGTTTCGAGGTTTGGGGTTGACTGCTTCTGCTGACCCCTAAATCCTAAACCCTAAACCCTAAACCCTAAAAAAGCCTCTTGCAACCATCAGGCCGTCTCTGAGGTGCATGAACTAGCCAATATGGGGGGGGGGCCTTCGTAATTGGAATGGGGTTTTTGGGGTCTATTACACTATAGTCATAAGAAGGAACCTCCCAAAATAGTATTGGTAATTGTTTAGGCCCCTATATTAGGGCTTTACCGTTTCGGGTGGGTGGAGGAGATGAGGGTTCAGCTGCTTAAAGCTTTCCATGGCTTTAGCTTCAAGGGCTGAGGCCTTAGGGCTTTTGTTTTTTTTGGTTAGGGGGGTTTGAATCCACCCAGAGCTGCGGAAGTACGACAAGCTTCTTCGGTTGAGGTCTTAGGGTTTAGGAAGTGGATTTGTCGCGAGTAGAAGGTCGAACGAAGAGTAGGAACCTTGTTATCACCCTGGCAGAAGCCTGAAACAGCAAGCCTCAAAGGTACCCGAAAAGTAGCCACCCCTGCAGGACCTCTATGGTAAGCCCTGGGGCAAACCCTTTTTGAGAGCCTGTGGTAACCCTTCTAGTAACCCTTCAATTGTAGAGCGCGTAGGGAGCCCTTACAGTAGTAACCCGCGCGCTGGGTGAGAGCAGAGAGACGCAGCAATGGGCCGTCACTGAAAAGCTTGGTCAATGGAGGGGCCCTTTACACTCAGTGATAGAACACGTTATGCAAAGTAGGAACAATAAAAGGGGGCTCTCGTTATTACGACCCCTACGTCCAGCTCCGGCCAGCGACGATCTGCGCACCGAGGAGACCTGCATGCGAAAGGATGAGTGCTGCGTAGAAGAACTCGAACTGCCAGGTGAGCACCTCGGCTTTGCTTCGCAGCTTCTCGTTTCTCATGAGCTTTAATATGCCCTCACCTCCTGCAGGGTCTCAACGTCGAGAGAAGTTGGGGCTTTGCCCAGAGACGGGCTTGGGGAACTTCAAAGGAGAATCTGGCAATCTGGGACGGGCATGGGTCAGTACTTCCCAGAGAACCCAAATCATAATATTAAGGCCCCAATTTAAGTAAGGTATATTGGGTTCTCTGGGTTACGATCAATTTACTCAGCTGGGCAGCTTGGCCAAAGACCTGAAGCCCGACAGCACGCAACGAAAGCATCTCACTCCTAAGCCCTATAAACCCATAGGCCCCTAAGTAGTTCCTTTTTGTGGTTCATATTTTAGAATCCTAATAAGGCAATCCCAAAAAGGAGCGACTTAGGGGCCTATGGGCATACACCCTAAAAGGCAAAAACACGACGAGGGACCAACGGCGCCAGTAGTTGCCCAAGCCGTGTGTTCGCGGCAGTGAGGTCCCGGGTACCCGCAGATCTTAGGCTCCGGACTTTGACCTTAGGCTGTAGCGCCATAGGCTATAAGGCATCGGGTTTGGGGCTTTAGGGTTTTCAGGTCTGGGGTCTAAGGTTTGGGGCAAGTTTAGGGTGTTGGTGTATAGGGCATAGGTTAAGTCCACGGCTTGCTTGAAAACGTCGGGGCTCGTCTTGTGAGTCTATGTAGCTGGGTCTGTACTGCTACAGGAAGCCCAAACCCTTTGCGCACAAGCCCTAAACCCCTGCATCCGCAAAAGCCCTAAACTTCTCAACTCTAAACCCAAAGCCTCTACAACCTCAAACCCTGAACAGCGTTGCTTTACCATATTGCTGATACATAGCAACTAGTAGGGCTACCTCACTATACCCTAAACCCCAAAGCCCTAAACCCTAACCCCTAAACCCCTAAACCCCTAAACCCCTAAACCCCAAAACCCTAAACCCTGCACCTCAAAACCCCAAACCCCCAAACCCAAAGCCCTGAACCGTCAACCCGCTGCAGTCGGCAAGCGCTGCGCCGCGGCTTGAAGTTCCCACTCTGCTCCGCCGCGACGGCCTGCCTGAGCTTTAGAAAGGCCACTACCAGGGTCATGAAAAGGACTACTATAAGGATTACTATAAGGGCTGCCATAAGGGGTCCTATATGGGCTATAGGCTATAGGTGTAGGAGTACTTCTTACGAGATACTAACGAGGGTCGCTACAAGGGTTGCTTCATGGATCCCTGGATGGGGGTACCGTCCGGGCTGCGGCTTGGAGGCTGAAAGCCCCTGGAAGCCCAAGAGGGTTTAGGGGTTTAGGGTTTTTTTTGTAGGGTTTATTCTAGGGTTTAGGGTTTAAGGGTTTAGGGTTTATTATCGGGTTTATAAGGTTTAGAGGGTTTGTCAGGGGGTTTAGAGGGTATACCCTAAACCCTAAACCCTAAACCGTACCCTAAACCCTAAACCCTAAACCTCAAAGCCTATGTCCAGGGCGCTCGTAGGAATTCTGCCTGGAGAAGCGCGAAGCTTCCATGGACGCCAGAGCTCCATTCTGCAACCGGGTTTCGGCTTTGAGGTTTAGGCTTGAAGGTTTACTTTGGAGGATCATGGGAATTAGTAACTTTAGGGTTATAGCACCACGTTGCATGATCCTCCAAGGAGCTTAACGATCAGCATTCGAGGAGTAGGACATACTCGGGACAGCGAGGTAACCTAAACCCTAAACCCTAATCCCTAAACCTTAAACCCTAAACCCTAAACCTTAAACCCTAAACCTTAAACCCTAAGCCCTAAACCCTCTACCCTAAACCCAGTTTTCACAACCCTAGACCCCAATCCCTAAACCTTAAACCCCAGACCCTAAACCCTCTGCCCTAAACCCTGTTTTCACAACCCTAGCGAGGTAACCTGAACCCTAAACCCTAAACCCTAAACCTTAAACCCTAAACCCTCTACCCCAAACCCTTTTTTCACAACCCTAGACCCTAATCCGTAAACCGTAAACCCTGAACCCTAAAGCCTAAACCCTCTACCCTAAACCCTTTTTTTCACAACCCTAGACCCTAAAAGGTCGAGATTGAAGCTTCCGGGCTCAAGAGCTTTTAAAGCGGGAGCTTGCAGGGACTTTATCGGTTTAGGGTTTAGGGTTTAGGGTTTGGGGTTTAGGTTTAAAAGTTTAGGGTTTTAGGTTTCAGGGTTCGGGGTTTAAGGTTTAGGGTTCTGTGACAATTCGTGGCACCTTAGCTGAGGCCCTCCGCGATGTCTGTGACTCGCTTGCCATGACCGCCGACGGCAAGTCCTCGCAGGTCGAGCTCAAGGCGGTGGAGTTGGGCTTGGATGTAGTATGTCCTATACATCCCTAATTCCGGCATATACTACGGCGTATACTACGGCGTATACCAAATCACCCTATCAGAATCTAAGATAGATTCCTTAATCAATCTGTGTTGGGCTCTCTCTGCGGAGGGCATCGGGGCCCTACCCATAGGCCCCTAAGTAGTTCCTTTTTGTGGCTCATATTTAGAACCCTAGAAAGTAATCCCAAAAAGGAACTACTTAGGGGCCTTATATGGGTAAGCCCTAAACCCCTAACCTCTAAAACCCCGAACCCTAAAACCCGAAACCCTGAACCCTAAGCCCTAAACCCTAAACCCTTAAAAGGAACTACTTAGGGGCCTATGGCTATAAACCCTAAGCCCTAAACGCGAAAGGAAAGAGATCGTGACGGGGCACCTCGCGAGCAGCGGCCAGGCACTCCTCCAGGCTCCCATGTTTTTATGGGACCTTTTTGGGTCCCTTAAAAGGATCTATAAGGGTTTCTATAAGGTTCCTATAATGGTACTATAAGGGTTATTATGTGAGTAGTGGGATTTTCCGAAAATTAGGGGGTACCTTATTTTGGGATCCTTATAATGGAGTACTATACTAGGCTCCCCTTCTATAGGGTTTCTATAGGGGCACTGTAAGGGTTCAATTTGGGTAGTGTCCCGTTTATATAAGGGTACCGTACTATATTGGAAAAACGGAGAGAACTACCCATGTAATATAAGGGCCAGTCTCATTAAAATAGGGTTCCTGTCAGGGTTCCATATAATGGTTGCTGTAAGGGAGACCATGAGAACTACCCATGTAATATAAGGGCCAGTCTCATTAAAATAGGGTTCCTTTCAGGGTTCCATATAAGGGTTGCTGTATCGGAGACCATGAGGGTGTAATATAAGAACCTTAATCATTAGAATAGAGTTCTTGGGCATTCTATACTATCTCTCTCATAAGAAACCCCCTATCGGTCATTAGTTAGGGTTCAATTTGAAGGGTTCCTTCAAAGGTACTGGAACAGTTTAGGGTGCAAGGCTCCACGTACCCTATATAGTATACACTGAGGCCTTTAAGTGGTCCCTGTATAGAAACTGCAAAGCCAAAGCATATACTAAATAAGTACATGGAGTTTAAAATTCTATAGACCTTGGCTACTGCCCCCATACAGTAACCATCTTTACCAGGGCTACGATTAAGGGCTTTATATCTCCATATTGTGAATTTTACTCAACTGCTACTGCTTGGGGGCAGCATCCAAGCCCCTAAACCCTAAACCCTAAACACTAAACCCTAAACCCTAAACCCTAAACACTAAACCCTAAACCCTAAACCCTAAACCCTAAACCCTAACCCCCAAACCCTAATACACCCTTATGGTACCCTTGAAGGAAGCCCTTAGAGGAGCCCTCAAAGGCACATGGAGCCTTACTTGGAGGATCATGGGGACTTAGCAACGATAGGCTTATAAAAAACACGGTTTAGGGTTTAGGGTTTAGGGTTTAGGGTTTAGAGTTTAGTACAACCCCAAGCATAACCCCAATTAAGGTACTTGTAACCCTACCTGCTACGTCCCAAGATCCTCCAAGTAGGGCTGGAGACCACTCAAGGCAGGGGGAGCGGGGGAGCCTGCGACTTGAGAGCCGTCACTGCCAGCGCCGCGTCCTGACATGTCCCAACCCTAAACCGGTTCAGGGTTCAGGGTTTAGGGTTTAGGGTTTAGGGTTTAGGGCATCAATTACAGTTCAAATGCGAACGAATGTAGAACTTTGAAGTTGCTTGATACTGTGGTTACCTAGTTAAACCCGCGGGATCTCAGACAACATCTGGCCAACAGTTGCCAAGCAGTGTTGGACGAGGGAGAGAGTAGGCAGTACAAGCAGCAGAAATCATCCCAGCGACCGGGCCGCTAAGCAAAGACAAGCTGCCACAAGAAGCCGTGGTCTCATAAATAGAAGTTAGTGACTGCACTGGCCACCGGCATGAGGTGAAGATGGGCGGCAGAAGTCCAAACAATCCCCAAAACCCAAACCTTAAAACCCTAAGCCCTAAACCCTATGAGCCCTAAATCCGAGACCCTAAACCTTCCCTAAAACCTCTGAGCCCTAAATCTGAGACCCTAGACCCTAAACCCTAAACCCTAAACCCTAAACCCTCTACCCTTAACCCTGTTTTCACAAACCCAATCCTCCAGGATGGGCTGCAGCTCCCTGTGCACGGGCAGTTCTGCTGGTCTGGTCAGGTCGACCCCAGGTTTCACCAGCGACGAGGAGTGGACCTGCATTCAGCGAACGTGACAGGGTTTAGGGTTTAGGGTTTAGGGGTTTAGGGTTCAGGTGTAGGGTTT